AATTATCATGTTTCAAAAGCCGAAGCTAAAACCTTCAAATTTAATTATATAATTAAATTAAAAGCATTAGTTCTGTTTCATCTTCAAGCGAATTTGGGAATAACTTATTTTTAAATTTACTGAGTTTTAACGCATATACAAATCATAATTTCTTGTTTCCAATGTTACAGAGGAATCCAATCATTTAGACAGGGGCGGTAGCGTGTTCATTTTTGTATTAATTTTGAGTTACGTTCGAAAAAGAGCTAGGGATGGTAGGGGGTGAATTTTTCAACGAATTTTGACATCCATTCAATGCATGGCATCTGTATTTTTTTTTTATCAACAACAAAATTCGTAATTGTATACTTAAAAATTCTAACCTTGGAAACAAGAAATTATGCATTTTATGTGCGTTTAAATCTCAGTAAATTTAAAAATAAGTTATTCCAAAATTCCCTTGAGAATGAAAAACAAGTAATGTTTTTAATTTAATTATATAATTAAATTTGAAGTTTTTAACTTCGGTTTTTGAAACACGGCAATTCCAGTGTAGCGAAGAAGCCATATTTTAAATCTGTTAATTTATAATATTTATGCTCTGCAAATTTATATCGAGCACTGTTTTGTAAAAATAAAAATATTAATAAGAACAGCAGATTATATATCTTACGGATTCTTTCTTTTTATATATATATATATATATATATATATATATATATATATATATATATATATATTATGCGTTTAAATTCCTTGAGAAACATAGGTCCGCAATATATCGTTGCGCTTCTGTAACAAGCCAGTTTTTTAAGTGAGTATGTTGTTAACCTACTGCACAACCTCCAGCCTGGAGGATCAGGTTTTGAATTCAGAGTTGTCCTTCTCGTAGACTAGTTGACACCCAAGGTTATAGAACCCAGTCTCTCCTGCTATTTACCGGGGGAGTGGAGAAGAAGAGGGTTCATACCTATCCCAAAGGTATTATCACGTAAGTGAATGTAATGGATTCGACTGGAAATCGAACTCGTCTCTCCGATTCCTCAATCTGAGCTGCTATGCATTACTACAGTGTGCTGTAGGAATGTATGGCCATTGTTTGTTCTTTGTACCAGTTATAATTTTTAAAGTTTTCATGATATGCAAGCTTTGACAATGATTTTGTTATAGGAATGCCCTGTATAGGAATGAATGGACGATTTTTGCACAATGCGATGCATTGTCAGTGATTTTACTAAAGGTAATATTGTGCAACATTTACTATAGGGAAGTACAGAAAAGGATTTCATTTTAATAACGCCCTGCCAACGATTTTACGATAGAAATATTTTTTTTGGTTTATTTTACTTTATATCAACCTGAGTGGGTTATTTCATGTCGACAAGATTTTTAATGTTGGTGTTATTTTTTCAAAAATGTATTACTGTTAATATTTTTTCTATCAAAAATGTATTGCTGGTATTTTTTTCAAAAATACATAGCCGGTAATAATGTATTTCTGGAAATAATTCCCTACTTCAAAAATTCATTGCTGGTAATAAATTTTTTACAAAAATGTATTGATGGTATTAAAATCTATTTTTACACTTTTATAGTGTATTGACCTCATTTTGCCGGGTCAACCATTTGCCCATAGCTGGGACCCTAACAGGTGCTACCACCCCGGGTCAGGGTGGACCTGGGAAAACCAGCAATTAAGAGGTGTTTCCACGCTCCTCAAAAACCTCCTGATCGGAGGCCTTTCTTGTTGGATGTAGTTTATCGTCTTCCCCAGGACGCATTTTACGATAGGAATATATTGTCATTGATTTTAATGCAGGTAATAATTAAAGCGTTTGTGTTGGTTCAAGACTGTTCTTCATCTGGGAGGAGATTATCAAGCATCTACTGCCGAGTTTCTTCTTTCACGCTTCTTGCTTGTAGAACTCCCTTCCGAATGCCATGCTCTCCAGCCAATTTTAATTTTCAAAAATGTAAATTTAATCTCAATCGCTATCTACTGTCGTTCTTATCACTCTTCTATTGTTCTCGCTCATTACTAATATTCATGTTTTAATTCTTCCACCCCTAATAACCTTTTGTGTCTTAGTGGCTTTACTGCCTTACTTGGGGTCAACTCGATTTAAATATATATATATATATACGATGAATATTACATAACAATTTACTATTCTTTTCTTTGTTTCTACCGATTTTTTCTGCTTTTTAAGACTTTGCTTATTTTTTGAAGCGTATCTTTTTTGATTGCTTTCAGATTTCATTGTTGCAGCTTTCATCCTCTGTGAAAACACTTCTCAGTTGTTTTTTTTTTTTTATACTTATTTGTCTTTTTTACATCTGCAATTTGTAATTCGTATGTCCTGCTTTTTTTTTTTTTTTTTTGCTAACAACCCTGTATTCTGTCTTCTTCCAATTGACATTTAGTCCTTTCTTCTCGCTTTCCATGTCTTCTCTAGGAGTTCTTAATTTTCTTACATGCTAATATAATCCTTATTCTATTCGTGGCTATAAATTGTATATC